TTTAATAATACAATTAATTATTCTGGTGTTTGTACACCTGTTCTTTATTATACAGTTGAATTAGGAGATAAATATTTTAGTCAACGTATAGGTTTAATTCGTAGTAATATATTATCTAGTGTGGATAGATTAAATAAGAAATTTGAGTGTAATATTTCTTATCCTATTAATATAAAGATATTCTTAAATAATAGTTTTTTATTTAATGAGACTGGTGCTTTTAAAAATAAAGGCTTATATATACCTATTACCTCTCCCCTATACAATGCCCCGCGCAGCAAAGCTGCGCGGGTTATTTATCCACCCGCCCATAAAAGAGTGGAAGATAAGGGTAAAAAATCAGGCCAGGCTACGTTGGCTCGTAGTAAAGATTTTGAAATGGCTAAAAATATTTCAACAAATTATATTAGAAAATTATTTAATAAAGAATACATACCTTTAAGTTTTAATTTGGGTATATATGGTATAAAATATAATAAAAACGAAATTAATAAATTAAAAGTATTATTATATTATAAATATCAAGAGTTAGGTTATATTTCAAAACCTGAAGAAAAGTTATTATATACATATCTATTATATAAAAAACTAAATAAAAGTTTTAAACAATTTTTCTTTTTATATAAAAAAAAGTATATAATAATAGTATTTAATAATACTATTAAATTTAATCAAAGAATGATTTGAGTTTATAATCTTAAAGATAAAGAGTTAATATATACTTGTATGGATATTAAAACAGGTGATAAAGAATTTGTTAGAATATCTGAGAATACAACTTTAATTTTAAAAGAAAACGTGGTAATAGGTTTTCTTAATAAAGTTGTATTACCCCGTTTTAAATAGGATATGATACCCGCGCTACGCATAGCGTAGTGCGGGTATCAAGCGAGAGGGAGGCCGCTATGCTGCCCCCTCTCGCCGGAAAATAAAGGCTGTTCTCCGTAATTTGGCAGTTAAAGATAAATCAAAAAAAAATAAAGTACCCCTCGGGGGCTTGCAGTGCATTGCACTGTAAGCCCTCGGGGAAGGGGGGGAGGCAAAATAAATATAATTAAACATCTATATAATAAATATAATATAAAGTAAATTTTTAATTTAATTTATTGGTAGATACCTATAGGGTCTCTACCAAATAATTAGTGCGACTTTGCAGCCTTTTCATCCTAAATATACCCGGCATACCCCGCGCAGCTAAGCTGCGCGGGGTCTGCCTGATTAAGCTAAAATAATAAAGTAAGTGGAATTAAAGATAAAATACAATAAAAAAAAGTAAAAATGAGGGTAAATATAAATGTATTAATAATAAACTAAAGAGGAGTTAAATAATACTATTTATGCTTATAATTTTGCAGTATTTAATTTAGATTATCGAAATATATATCTAAAGGGGTAGGCTTTACAGCCCTCAGGTTAATTACCCGGGCCTAGCATAAGCTAGGCCCGGGTAATTTAGATGAAGAGTATAAACACGTATTTATGAAATAAATTTTATTATTTCGTCCGCCCGCAACATAGTTGCAGGCGGGACGAA